ATAGTCATCTAATGAGCAACAGGGAACAACAAAACCAATTGTTTATCAACAAATAAATTTTTTAAAGCCCTTAGCTTCGCGAAACTCGAAAATTCGATAGTCTGCTAATTGGCGGATGGAGAATTTTGACTAGTAATTTTGCCAAAATTATTTTACAAAAGTAATTTCTAGTAAATAAACATTTAATGAACAAAAGGCAACTACAAAACCAATTGTTTATTAACAAATAAATTTTTTAAAGCTCTTAGCTTCACAAAACCCGAAAATTCGATTGTCTGCTAATTGGCGGATGGAGAATTTTGACTAGTAATTTTTCCAAAATTATTTTACAAAAGTAATTTCTAGTAAATAAACATTTAATGAACAAAAGGCAACTACAAAACCAATTGTTTATTAACAAATAAATTTTTTAAAGCTCTTAGCTTCACAAAACCCGAAAATTCGATTGTCTGCTAATTGGCGGTTGGAGAATTTTGACTAGTAATTTTTCCAAAATTATTTTACAAAAGTAATTTCTAGTAAATAAACATTTAATGAACAAAAGGCAACTACAAAACCAATTGTTTATCAACAAATAAATTTTTTAAAGCTCTTAGCTTCGCGAAACTCGAAAAATCGGTTGTCTGCTAATTGGCGGATGGAGAATTTTGACTAGTAATTTTGACAAAATTATTTTACTAAAGAAAATTCTCGTAAATAGTCATCTAATGAGCAACAGGGAACAACAAAACCAATTGTTTATTAACAAATAAATTTTTTAAAGCCCTTAGCTTCGCGAAACTCGAAAATTCGATTGTCTGCTAATTGGCGGATGGAGAATTTTGACTAGTAATTTTGCCAAAATAATTTCACTGAAGAAAATTCTCGTAAATAGTCATCTAATGAGCAACAGGAAACAACAAAACCAATTGTTTATCAACAAATAAATTTTTTAAAGCCCTTAGCTTCGCGAAACTCGAAAATTTCGATTGTCTGCTAATTGGCGGATGGAGAATTTTGACTAGTAATTTTGCCATAATTATTTAAAAAATTTAAATTCTTGTAAATAATCATCTAATGAACAACAGGAAACAACAAAACCAATAGTTTATTAACAATTGAAATTTTAAAGCCCTTAGCTTCGCGAAACTCGAAAATTTCGATTGTCTGCTAATTGGCGGATGGAGAATTTTGACTAGTAATTTTGCCAAAATTATTTTACAAAAGTAATTTCTAGTAAATAAGCATATAATGAGCAACAGGAAACAACAAAACGAATTGTTTATTAACAATTAAAATTTTAAAGCTCTTAGCTTCGCAAAACTCGAAAAATCGATTTTCTGCTAATTGGCGGATGGAGATTTTGACTAGTACTTTTGCCAAAATTATTTCACTGAAGAAAATTCTCGTAAATAGTCATCTAATGAAGAACAGGAAACAACAAAACCAATTGTTTATTAACAAATTAAATTTTTAAAGCCCTTAGCTTCGCGAAACTCGAAAATTTCGATTGTCTGCTAATTGGCGGATGGAGAATTTTGACTAGTAATTTTGCCATAATTATTTTAAAAATTTAAATTCTTGTAAATAATCATCTAATGAACAACAGGAAACAACAAAACCAATTGTTTATTAACAAATAAATTTTTTAAAGCTCTTAGCTTCGCGAAACTCGAAAATTCGATTGTCTGCTAATTGGCGGATGGAGAATTTTGACTAGTAATTTTGCCAAAATTATTTTACAAAAGTAATTTCTAGTAAATAAACATTTAATGAACAAAAGGCAACTACAGAACCAATTGTTTATTAACAAATAAATTTTTTAAAGCCCTTAGCTTCGCGAAACCCGAAAAATCGATTGTCTGCTAATTGGCGGATGGAGAATTTTGACTAGTAATTTTGCCAAAATTATTTTACTAAAGAAAATTCTCGTAAATAGTCATCTAATGAGCAACAGGAAACAACAAAACCAATTGTTTATTAACAAAAAAATTTTTTAAAGCCCTTAGCTTCGCGAAACTCGAAAATTTCGATTGTCTGCTAATTGGCGGATGGAGAATTTTGACTAGTAATTTTGCCAAAATTATTTTACAAAAGTAATTTCTAGTAAATAAGCATATAATGAGCAACAGGAAACAACAAAACCAATTGTTTATTAACAAATAAATTTTTTAAAGCCCTTAGCTTCGCGAAACTCGAAAATTCGATTGTCTGCTAATTGGCGGATGGAGAATTTTGACTAGTAATTTTGCCAAAATTATTTTACTAAAGAAAATTCTCGTAAATAGTCATCTAATGAGCAACAAGAAACAACAAAACCAATTGTTTATTATCAAATAAATTTTTTAAAGCCCTTAGCTTCGCGAAACTCGAAAATTCGATTGTCTGCTAATTGGCGGATGGAGAATTTTGACTAGTAATTTTGCCATAATTATTTAAAAAATTTAAATTCTTGTAAATAATCATCTAATGAACAACAGGAAACAACAAAACCAATAGTTTATTAACAATTGAAATTTTAAAGCCCTTAGCTTCGCGAAACTCGAAAATTTCGATTGTCTGCTAATTGGCGGATGGAGAATTTTGACTAGTAATTTTGCCAAAATTATTTTACTAAAGAAAATTCTCGTAAATAGTCATCTAATGAGCAACAGGAAACAACAAAACCAATTGTTTATTAACAAATAAATTTTTTAAAGCCCTTAGCTTCACAAAACCCGAAAATTCGTTTGTCTGCTAATTGGCGGATGGAGAATTTTGACTATTAATTTTGCCAAAATTATTTTACTAAAGAAAATTCTCGTAAATAGTCATCTAATGAGCAACAGGAAACAACAAAACCAATTGTTTATCAACAAATAAATTTTTTAAAGCCCTTAGCTTCGCGAAACTCGAAAATTCGATTGTCTGCTAATTGGCGGATGGAGAATTTTGACTAGTAATTTTGCCAAAATTATTTTACAAAAGTAATTTCTAGTAAATAAGCATATAATGAGCAACAGGAAACAACAAAACGAATTGTTTATTAACAATTGAAATTTTAAAGCTCTTAGCTTCGCAAAACTCGAAAAATCGATTTTCTGCTAATTGGCGGATTGAGAATTTTGACTAGTAATTTTGCCAAAATTATTTTACAAAAGTAATTTCTAGTAAATAAGCATATAATGAGCAACAGGAAACAACAAAACGAATTGTTTATTAACAAAAAAATTTTTTAAAGCCCTTAGCTTCGCGAAACTCGAAAATTTCGATTGTCTGCTAATTGGCGGATGGAGAATTTTGACTAGTAATTTTGCCCTAATTATTTTACAAAAGTAATTTCTAGTAAATAAACATAATAAACAAAAGGCAACTACAAAATCAATTGTTTATTAACAATTAAAATTTTAAAGCCCTTAGTTTCGCGAAACTCGCAAATTCGATTGTCTGCTAATTGGCGGATGGAGAATTTTGACTAGTAATTTTGCCAAAATTATTTTACTAAAGAAAATTCTCGTAAATAGTCATCTAATGAAGAACAGGAAACAACAAAACCAATTGTTTATTAACAAATAAATTTTTTAAAGCCCTTAGCTTCGCGAAACTCGAAAATTCGATTGTCTGCTAATTGGCGGATGGAGAATTTTGACTAGTAATTTTGACAAAATTATTTTACAAAAGTAATTTCTAGTAAATAAACATTTAATGAACAAAAGGCAACTACAAAACCAATTGTTTATCAACAAATAAATTTTTTAAAGCCCTTAGCTTCGCGAAACTCGAAAAATCGATTGTCTGCTAATTGGCGGATGGAGAATTTTGACTAGTAATTTTGCCAAAATAATTTCACTGAAGAAAATTCTCGTAAATAGTCATCTAATGAGCAACAGGGAACAACAAAACCAATTGTTTATCAACAAATAAATTTTTTAAAGCCCTTAGTTTCGCGAAACTCGCAAATTCGATTGTCTGCTAATTGGCGGATGCAGAATTTTGACTAGTACTTTTGACAAAATTATTTTACTGAAGAAAATTCTCGTAAATAGTCATCTAATGAGCAACAGGAAACAACAAAACCAATTGTTTATCAACAAATAAATTTTTTAAAGCCCTTAGCTTTGCGAAACTCGAAAATTCGATTGTCTGCTAATTGGCGGATGGAGAACTTTGACTAGTAATTTTGCCAAAATTATTTTACAAAAGTAATTTCTAGTAAATAAACATCTAATGATCAATAGTTACCATAAAAATTAATTGTTCATTAACAATTGAATTGTTTAAAACTCATAGCTTCGTTAGATGTTTATTTACAAGAATTTACTTTTCTAAAATCAGTTTTGCAAAATTCCTTTCAATTCTCTATTGTTCGTTAGATGTTTATTTACAAGAATTTACTTTGGTAAGATAGGTTTGGCAAAATAACTAGTCAAAATACTCCATCCGCCAATCAGCAGACAATCGAATTTTCGAGTTTTACGAAACTAAGAGCTTTTAAAATATTTAATTGTTATTAAACAATCGATTTTTATGTTACATTATGTTCGTAGAATATTTATATTCAACTTTATAGTGAAAGAATTTATCACAAAAAAGAAAGAATGAAGAATGGATCATGTCGTGTTATTTAGTTGCGACGCCTATGGGTTTTTCAGGTGTCTGGCGGATGGCGGGCCGCTAGTCACGCCACCTAAATTTGGTACCCAATATATATCAAATTGATCTAAATGTTTGGTTTTGGTATTATTAATTTCAAACATTTGTAGGATTGCCACAATGATTTCTTTTGAAACAACTTAAATCTCGAAGAACTATCATAAAATTATTACTGAAACTTGATATTATTATTTGATATTATGAAACGATTTTTAATATAGATTTGCGCAAGAAAAGAATATATTTATTTCCACCATGAGACAATAAATTTTTGCTGAGAAATTTTAATGAAGAAAAAAAGTTATATAATATAACAAGAGAAGAGAAATGCGCTTGAAAAATGAAGGTAAATCTAATAGATGTAATAATGGATGCATGTGGATTCACAGTATGATAGTAGGCAAGCGTTCATAGACACGTATCTCGCGGAGAAGGAAGCCATCCGGAAGCAAAAGGAACACGAGGAACATGTTAGAAGAAGTGCAATCAAGATTCAAGCTTGGTGGAGAGGCGTGATGGTTCGCCGGAAACTGGGACCCTATCGACCAGAGGATAAGAAGAAGCGTTCAACGAAAATCAAAAAATAATCTCGCCACAGCATCTCAATTCTGTAGCGCATATATATGTTGTATACTACATATATATAATAGCGCAATGATTATATTATATTGTATTTTATAATCTTAATTCTATCTTTCCTTCATAATAAAAAAGTTTCGAAGCTTAAAATTCACATTCTTTTTCATTTTTTATTTTGTTTTTACAGTTTCACCAAGATTCTCAAATTGAGACAATATTATAGAATCAAAAAACTTTGCCTTGCAATAATTTTCATACGTTTTTTGTTTCAATTTGATATCCTTATTACAGGGCTCAAACTAGGTCCGTAAATCCCGTAATCCGCAAATATGCGCTTCCAGTCCGTGAAAATCGATTTTTTTTTAAAAAAAAAAGGTCCATAAAGTCCGTAATTTGATTGAAAAAGCTCACAAAAAGTTCGTAAATTGCAAGATATAATTTGAAGAATTTTAGAGAAATTACAAATGATTGAAGAAATTCAATTAATTTTTAAAAGTAATAAAATTGATCGTAAAAATTTAATTATGTTCTAAAATTTGTTGAAATTATTGTCAAAATTTCAATTATCTTTGGAGATAATTAAATTCTTCTCTGAAATTCATTAATTTTCAAAAATTTCCCTTAATTCAATATGATTCCCAATATCTACTATTTTAATAAAATCTTCCAAGACAATTCAATTATTTAAAAAAATTTTAATAAAATTCTAAGCAAACATTTATTATTTTTATAAAATAATAAAAATTGCACAGAAATTCAATTATTTACAAATTTTGTTTATATATATAATTTTTTTCGCAAAAATTCAATTATATTTTCAAAAAAAAAAATAAAATTTTTACATGGATTCAATTATTTTTATAAATAATAAAACTCTTTGGAGAATTTCAATTATTTTTAATCAAATTTTAATCAAATTTCTCGAAAAATGTAATTATTCTTAAAAATGTTATTAAAATTCGTCTATAGAATTCAATTATTTAAAAATTTGTTTTATAAAATTCTTTATAGGAATTGAATTTTAAGAAACATTCAATTATAATGTTTAACGGTTTTAGTCAAATAATCAGAGAAAAAGTTTTTAGTCAAAAGTGTGCTGAGAGTTAAGATTTATACTTTTTTAAAGTGTGATTAAAATCAAACAAGTGAATAAAAATTAAAAGAATCACTTTTTGTAATTTTCTCAAAAAAAAAATTAATTTCTTTCGTTGGATTTGTTGGAAGTTATTTTGAATCCATATACTTAGAATTCATTTTGAAAATAGGCCTAAAAGGACCCGCCCTGAATATTTGGGCCTGCCTACCTAATGATTTTCTTTCGTATTCGAAGAAGAAAAACTGTTTTCCTCGAAACTCCAAATCGATTCTGCTTTCCTGTCTCCAAAGTATACAAAAGTCAACTAATCCCATTCATCCACTAATTGACCGTGAAATTTGTCAATGGGAGGTCTTTATTATAATAATAATAAGAAGTAATTTTAAATACCCAAGTCCCTGAATTATGGGCCCATTGGGTAAACGAGAAAATACCAACTTTTCGTTTCTGGAATCCTGATACTAATGTGGAGCATTACCTGTCGCTTTCAGTATTTCTACCTCAATCCTTTCGAATTCTCGGAAGCGTACGTTTTCGGGTCTCACTCTTACTCGCTCTTTTCCCCCATAGGTATATATTTCGAAAGGGCCATTCAGTATTTATTTTCCTCAGGTATACGGCAGTTTCAAGAGGAGAAAAAATAATTCTCTTCTCGAAACAATTTTTTCTCAAGTTTCATATTTTCGTATGTTTTCATGTACAAAAAATTTTTTCCCTTTTCGGATGAATTGTTTATGCAAATTTTTGAAAATAACTTCCTAAAGTCTTCCGGAAATTTTAAAATTAAATTTGTTTCAAATTTTATTTTTGTTAAATAAAATTTTTATTTTTGTAAAAATCAAATTTTTTTGAGACAATTAAATAATTAACTTGAAACAAATAAAATTTTTTCGAAACAAATAAATAATTTCAGGGCTCGAACTACGTCCATAAATCACGTAAAGGTCCGTAAATTTTTTTTTAAGTTCGTAAAAGTTAAAAAAAGAAAGGTCCGTAAACTCGGTAATTTGATTGAAAACGCAGAAATTCAATTATTTTCAAAAGTAATAAAATTCTTCGAAAAAATTCAATTATGTTCGAAAAATTTTAAAATTCTCAACAAAATTTCAATTATCTTTATAAATAATAAAATTCATTTCCAAAATTAAATTAATTAATTTCACAAGAATTCAATTATTTTCGTAAATAATAAAATTCTTTTTAGGAATTCAGTTATTTTCGTAAATATTAAAATTTTCACAAGAATTTAATTATTTTAAAACACAATTTTAAATATTAAATTTTTAATATTTTTGAAATATTTTCATAAAATTTTTCGAAAAAAATCAAATGGGTATTTAAAATGATTTTTTAAAAAAATTTATAAAGCTCTTCGTAAGAATTCAATTATTTTTTTAAATTTTAATAAAATTCGTTACAAGAATATTCAATTATTTCTAAAAACTTTAATAAAATTCGTTGAAAAATTCAGTTATTTTAAAAAAATTTAATAAAATTCTTGTCAAAATTTCAATTATTTTCAAAACTTTTGATAAAATTCTTGTCAAAATTTCAAGTACATATTTTCAAAAATTTTCCTGAATTCAATGATTTTCAATATGTATAGTATTTTAATAAAATTTTCCAAAAGAATTCAATTATTTAAAAAAATTCAAATAATATTCTACGCAAAAATTTCAATATTTTTATAAAAAAATAATAAAAATTTCACAATAATTCAATAATTTACAATTTTTTTTATAAACTTCTAAGAGCAATAATTTAATTATTTTCATAAATAATAAAATTTTTTTACAGAGATTCAATTATTTTCATAAGAAAACAAATTCTTTTTAACAATTCAATTATTTTTAGAATTATAATAAAACTCATCGCAGAATTTCAATTATTTTTATTTCAATTTTAACCGAGTTTCTCGAAAAATGTAACTTAAAATGTTTATTGAAATTCTTCAAAATAATTCATTTATTTAAAAATTTGTTGATAACATTCTTTATTATAATTGCAATTTTGAGAAATAATAAAATAAAAAATAATAAAAACTGATTTAAAATTGAATTTCAGTTGAAGTTTTAGATAATAATTGAAATAATATTCAAAAGGAATTTGAGTTAAAATTTAGATAATAATTGAATATTATAAACATTATAGCATGAACTTTTAGAAATAATTGAATTTTGAAAAGGTATAATTTAATTTGTTTTTGAAAGTCTTTTATTTTTTTTATTTTCTATAATATATATATTTAATAGAAGAATTTACGAATAATTGAAAGTTCGTAAAATTTAATTGTAAAATTGGATTTGAAAATTCTCAAAGAACTTTTTTGAAAATTATTAAAAATAATAATTTTTGTCAGTAATTGGTCGATAAATGGTCCTTAATTAAAATTTTTCTTTTGCTTTGTAGAGTCCGTATTTTTAAATACTTTTACGGGTTCGAGTCCTGTAATTATTTACTTGAAACGAATAAAATTTACCTTGAGACAAATAAAATTTATTCAAAACAAATAAATAATTTAGTAGACTTTTAATAGCATACATTTTTTTCTTTTATTCGTAGAAAAAATAATAATAATTTTTTTTTTTTTATTTTTTTATTTTATTTAGTAGACTTTTAATAGCATACATTTTTTTCTTTTATTCGTTATTTATTCTTATTCGTTATTAAATTTAATTTTATTTTCGCAGAAATATATATTTTTATCTCAGGGAAAAGTCAGAGAACAAAGAAAACAAATATTTTGGTGTCAATCTTGTATAAAATTAATAATAAATAAATAATTTTTTTTTTTAAATAAAAATTTCGTTTATTGCAAAAAAAATTGTGTGCACCTTTTGACACTGGGATTTTCAGTATAGTAGCAAGTACGATACCAAACATTAGTTCAGCGGTCGCATGGATTAAAACCTATTATGCGGTGCTTACCGCGCATTTGCACATTTTAGGACCATTCTCTCTTGCATACTCGCTTCCCACTCTATACGTACAATATGTGTATATATATTCCAGTTTCATGCGCTATTACATATAGTGCAATGCTAGCACGCATATTCTATATATATACATATATTTTCACCTGATACCCTATAGGCACGTAAATACAGCAGATTCGGCCACAAAATTCAGGAAGTACCACACACAACAGGAAATGAGATCCTTGCGTGAACAATTCCTCAACTTTTTCTGTATATATAACATACTTACACTCGCACGTTTAATTTCAAATTGCACTGTATATAAGAAAAATAACCGCATATAGGTGCATCTTCAAAGTAAACTGCGAGAAAAAAATGCTATTGAATCAATATATAATATTATTATACTCTCTTAATTTGAATTAATAAAAATATTTACTAATTTAAATTAGTGACTGACTTTTTGCTTCTGAATTAGTAAACTTTACTAATAAATTAGTGGAAATTGCTATTTATTAGTAAAATTTACTAATAAATTAGTAGACATTACTATCTAATAGTAAAATTTACAAATTTACAAAAAATTACAAATTCAAAAGCAAACAGAATAAGTGAGTGCATTTTTGTTTTTGAATTAGTAAATTTTACTAATAAATAGGAATTTATAGTAATTTATTAGTAATATTTACTATCTTCACTAATAAATAGTAATTTATACTAATTTATTGGAAAAATTCACTTTTTTCACTAATAAATAGTAATTTATACTATAATTAAATAGTAAATTTGACTAATAAATAGCAATTTCAACAAATATATTTGCTTTTTAATTAGTAAATTTTACTAATAAAAAGTAATTTTTACTAATAAAATGTAATTTTTACTAATTTATTAGTAAATTTTACCAATAAATAGTCATTTTTACTGAATTTGTAAGCAAAATTTACAAATTAAAAAGCAAAAAATTAGTGGGTGAATAATTCACTATGAATAAT